CTTACCAGTGTACAGTTTGATCACTTTTGAACTCCAAAAATTTATATGAAATAGATTTACGGAAATACGATGAACAACAATCGACCCTATTTTGTGGTCCAAGTGCTAATGAGAATTCATATTCAAACAATATTTCTTAAAAAAATTGGTACCTTTAGTATTTTTGATAATAATCGTAACGGTACTAGATTGCCTTCTTGTCCAATTGCTATTAATTTCCATCTGGCGCATGTCAGGGATTTCTCACAGTATTCATATTTTCCAATGAGCACATGAAAGTATAAAGCACAAAATTTGAAAACTATTTCCATGTTTAAGAATATTTGTTATCTCTTTCCTGAAAAATTATCACTATTTCTATATATATGTTGAATTGATGTTTGATATGTTGATATAGAGATATAACGTTCCTTTGTAATCTATATAAGAATTGTAAAGAGTGTTAATAATGGCTGTTTTCTATTATTTGTTATCATTGTTCTGTGTTCTATTTGGAAATACCATGAAACTAATAAATGGTCACTTTATAAGTAACGGCGTTTTCTTTCCAAGAATGTGATTTTCAAATTATGCAGCGACACTCTTTTATATCCACCACTCTCTGTCTATGCAGGGGTCGGCAAGTAGTTTTAGGTGGGGTCCGGATACTGTGTGAAAATTGTAACGAGGTCTAGAAAAAAACAACTGATAATAATTAAATGCTACCTATGTATTATTGTACTTTCATATCAAATTCTGAATTATGAAACACAAGGCCTTAAATTAATGTGAGAAACTACACTGACGGTCTTGAGCCAGTTTTTTATAGTTCGGTTCTCGAGAGAAACAGCAAATTCGAAGCGTGTCTTCTAAGTGGGCGTTTGTTTTTCAAAAAATTCATCTTTGAAGAAAGATGTTTCACATACGTATGTCGAGCCAAACAGAGTATTTCTTGCAATTTTCATATTTTTCTGGGACATGTTTGGTCCTAAATTCTTCAGTGGATACCGTTATATGTGCAAAGACACATTTTCTGTGTGATGTGATGGCTTTGATAGATTAAACAACTTGGCAGCCATTCATTCTGCCGCTACATCAACTTCAAATGGCGAATGTTTTCTTCAGAGTTCTTTTTATATCGAAAAATCATCGGAAAATGAGTAAATTCTTGTCTTGCAATATCTTTTGTCCAGCTTGCGACGAAAAGCAGACATGCTTTGTATCAGATCACATATTAATTTTCTTGTATCTTTTCAGTTTGAAGATATTATTTCAATTAATGAAGGTATAATATACCTCATCTACGTATCAATTTGTATTTGGTATACAACATATTAAAAAATATAGCGGTCCGAGGTTCAACCTTTCGCGGTCCGCCTGCTGCTGATTTGAATTCAGCAGTTTCATTGAAGTGACAAAGACTATGATAAAAGACCACAATGAAACTAGGCGTTCTCAAAGAGAGAAAATAATTATATGGGAAACAGGCACAGTAATAACACATGTATCAACTTTCCCTCGTTTCCCCTTTATTTACGTTTATGACTCAGTCTCTCGTTCACTCTTAAAACTGTGTTGTACTTTTCCTTCAATCTTATCCTCTCGTTCACTCTTAAAACTGTGTTGTACTTTTCCTTCAATCTTATTCTCACATACTTTCTAATAATCTTGAATCCTGTAAAATTTTGTAGAAACCCTTATTCAATGTTACCCATATTGCTCTGAACACTTCATGTTTATGAATTTATCATTTCTATTGGGTCGTAGAAGTTCAAAATAGTTCAGGGAATATATTGTCAATATATATTTTTCTCCAGTTCAGTAACATCTTTCATCACAGATTGCTACATAAGTTGCTCGTCTCTTGTGATCCATTCGCATTACGTATAACTGAGATACATGAAGTAGTAAAGTTTTTTGATCCCCGAAGTTATTGAGTATTCATTGTGTTCAGATTATCGAAGAACTCAAATATCTTCATTAGTGACATAATCTTAGTATTCTGTAATCAAAAACGCTGAAGCGTTCCAAATACCTTGAAGTAGTATCAGTTTGAAGATGCATAAAATATCCTTGTTGTGATTACTTGAAACTCTTTCCCATGAAAAATATTTTGTCAATAACTCTCGACTTTCGGCATAATAATTACATACCCTATAAGTTTTAGCACCACATTCACTGAGTACCTACACTAAAAACTAAAAAGTGATACCTTTGTATATAGGGTTCAGTCTATATATAAAGGTGATCCAGCTTGACAATATTAAATGGGTGCGTTCTTCAATACCAGCGACACATTTCGATTCTTGCTCCATCTATTAACATGTGTACAAAGTTGTATCCATCTCATTTTTCGCGTCAAGAGCATTTAACAAGATAAAAGCGAATTGGTTCAAACACCTGGGTATATCCTAGCTTCCTTACCCTTTTGGCTGATCTTTGTCGAAGAAGGACAAATGGGTTCATGACTGAGGGGATGTTGGTGGTATAAAGTCCTCAGACACCAGTATTGCCCTTCACGGGATACCCCTCTACCTGGCTGGGGTGGGATGGATGAAAAAGCTATTCGTCCGTTAACGGGGGACATGAGGGCCTCATTCGACAGAGTGTCGAGGCCTTCTATATCGGGAGGGGTCGTCTACAGCATAATCCATAGCTTCTCTAACTAACTTCAAATGGGTTCCTCAGAGATCTGACTATTTCGACTATTCGAGTGCATTCACCTATCCCCTCTCCCCTCTCATGGCTTCATCGGTTTTAGCGGAAGCTAACCGTTTGGCAGGAGTTGGTCGTGTTCCGCTTGATTAAAGGTTTCCATATGTTGCGTAACTATAGTTACTCTGCTAGTTTGGCTAAATGCGTTGTTGGACAACATATATGCGGCTTCTTTGAATTTTCTCCTGAACCAGTGTTCCTCCTTGTGGATTATTTCAGCTTGAGTCCACTTGATGTTATGTTGATGAGTCCAAACATGCTCTGCTATTTATGATTTGCTGGTTTCCCCTAGCTGTGTGTGATTTCTTGTCCTCCGCAATGCGAACTTCCAATGACTTCTTAGTTTCACCGATGTATGATTCTCCGCACTCGCAGGGTATCCGGTAAATGCAATTCTTGGAATCACAGTCCGCGTTTGGTGGCCTGGTTTTCGTGAAACTGTTACGGATAGTTTTCCCTGATCTGAAACAGGTTCTGATGTTATACTTGGCTCCAATCCTTCTTATCCTTCCCAACAATCCTCTGATGTAGGGAAGTACAAGTACAGGTTGTGGCGGCTGCTCTTCCTTGTGGAGCTCTTGCTGTCTTCTAGCTAAAGCCTTTTTCACCATCACTTTGGAGTAACCATTCTGTTGAAGGTAATTTTTAATGATGCCTAGTTCCTTTTTGAGACCTTCCTTTGTATTGCAGAGCCCAAAAGCACGGTCTAGTAGAGTCTTGATGGATTCTCTCTTAGTTGATTGATGGTGTTTGGATTCCTGGTTCAGATACTGTCCCGTGTGAGTGGGTTTTCGGTATACAGATGTTTCCCACTTATAGTGTCGGTCCTCTTCACCAGTATGTCTGAGAATGGCAATTCGTTGTGGACTTCCTTCTCCATTGTGAAATTGATGGAAGGACTTACGTTGTTGATGTGCTTCAGAGGTAGGTGTCTAGTTCTGCATTCCTATGGTTCCATATTATGAAAGTGTCGTCCACGTATCTCAAACCAGACACGAGGCTTCTTGTGGGCTTCTTCAATGGCCAGAGTTTCAAACCACTCCATAAACCACTATATATATAAATCAAAAATGAAACTTCATGTACACAACACTCCAAAATAGTGGGCAAACCGCGGACACGTGTTTCTGGCTATTGGCCTCATAAGCGCGGTGCAGCCAAGTGCAAAGATGGGCAACACTTGTTTGCCGAAAATAGATATCATACCCACTCATTAACATCTTTATCTCTGTATATTATCTCTCTTTTCCCGAAAATAAGAATTGGTGTTTTTTCAACGTCTGGTACACAACTTCCTTTCAATTGATGCAGTAGGGTCCCTTACGATCTTTGTGTATGTTCCTTTCTGAAGCGCCTCTTCGATCTTCTGTTCGTAGAGGTCAGTATCCATCACAACAGTAGCGTTTTCCTTATCTGCAGGTAAGATCTTGACGGTGTTGTCTCTACGTAGCCCGTTCAGGGCTCTTCGTTCTTCATTGCTGATGTTAGATGTTGAAACTGGTTCTCGATCTAGCTGTTCTCTGATTTTCCATCTGAATTCTTCTGCCTCGATCTGATCAATGAGTTAACTGGTGGATTCTACTGCAGTTATTATTTCCCAAGTGGGCACAGCTTGGTGCAGTGGCGAAGTTTAGACCTTTACTCAACAAGGATTCCTCTATGTCCGTGAGCGGGCGGGAACTCATGTTGATGACATGGTTGTCCTGTTTTCGGTATAGCAAGTATAGCAGGTTGTAAGAAAACGTAAATTGAGGAGGAGGATGTTAGGAACTAGGACTTGACATGACATTCCGATCTAAAAAGTGTATAAGTGGCCGGTAAAGTTATTAAAATTTGAAGTTGTGATGATGAATAGAGTAGTTTCAAAATTTATGATAAAAATAGTACCGTAGGATGTCCCTTTTGACCTTAGATCACAATATATGCACTAACCATTTGGACATAGATTTTCACTGCTGAAGACGGTTTTTCAACGTGTATCGTTCAACAAAATAAAACTGTTTTTCTCATTAACTGATTTGATAAATATGCAAAAGATTATGAAAGCCAGAAACGTCAATTTCTGAATATCAAAATATGAGTTGTTTGGAGTAAAAAGATGTGATGAATTTGGTTTAAAAAAGTAATACAAAAATAGTTTATAATAAAAAAAAATCCGGCTCATGCATATGAAATCATTTGAAGTCAGTGTTGTTTCCGTGTTTCGGCTTCACATAGGCAGTCTTTATTACCTACCCATAGTGTAAGATTCCTGGGTTTAGACATCTTACCATAGTACATTTGTGACCATAGTGGAATCAAGAATCAATACGTTACATTTGAGTGAGAGCACTGACACTGACAGATTTCAGTGCAACTGGCAGCAATGTTTTCAATCAAAACCTAACCTGATTTCAATATGTTTTGTATTTTATAATTCACTTCTTATAAATTTTATTATATGTGTGAAATTTCTTTATATGTCTTTTTCAACGAAGTCAATAGTGAAATTATTTTGTAACAGTATCGAACTACATGCATAGAAACAATAAAGAAGATTTGAAGTTCTATAACATTCTAGAATATTTTCACCATTTTTTTCTCTGTCATGAACAAGAAATGATATTGTCCCATTACAAGAACTAGTAAAAGTGGAGATGTTTTGTTGGGGTAGCACCGTTCATGGAGAACTGGGACTAGGAGGTATTGAAGAGGAACATATTCTTACTCCTAGGGCCTTGGATTGGAGTTTGGCTGGTACTGTAATAGAAGCAGCCTTGGGAGAAAACCATACTCTGCTGTTGACTAGAGATGGAAAAATATATTCCTGTGGGAATAATGATTACGGACAACTTGGTCATGATCAGCCAAGAAAGAGGCCACGTATGTCTTTCCTTAGTATGTAACATTTTGCTTTATGTCTGTTGAAACTTTTTGTTTTTGTCGTTTGGCATCCCAGATAGCACAAGTTATTCCAGACTGACTGACCAGACTTCAATACTTTACTTTTATCCATATTTAATCATCATAATATTGGTCCATGTCTCAATCTACTCATCATCAAGAATACAGAAAGTTCACAATAGAATGCATATACAAGACTGATTTTTATTTAAAATTCTGAGACCCTGTATCTCCATTCATCTACATTGGTTGGTTGAAAATGTTATAAATACAAATATTACAAATGTTACAAATTTAAAATATTACATATACTTACATATTACAAATCCAAAGTGACTACTAGCACACACATAGAAATTTGAACATAGAACATCATCATGAAATGATGATTATTGTATCAGTTTTAGTTGTATATATTCATATTGCTTCCTCATTATCTAAAACGTTACCCTGATTCAACTTCGATACTATGGAGGGCGTGAGCTTCGGTAACCAATGACCACTCTCGACATCCTGAGACATTGGATGGATAATCATATTATTATGAAAACTGATGGTTTCAATCTACTTTCCAGGAATATCTGTTGAGCTGTTGACATAAAATATTTCAAATGATTTTGTTCATATCAACTGCTTCAAATACAAAAAGTGGGATAAAATTATTTTTGTAAAAATCTTTTTCATGTCTGAAACAAAGTGGTAAAATCACCAAAAGATAAACATTGATAACAATGAGTGGGACGATAACACTGCTCTTTACGGACATCATCTATGGAATGAATAGAGGATAAACGATGCCCCCAATATGATCGGTTGCAAAGCCAAGCTTTGACATCGAATGCCAACCGAAAATCGGCTTTTCTGATTGAACCCCAGATAGCACAGTGGCGCCAGGTTGAACCACTTAAGAATACATATTCATAAGGTAAGACGTCATCGCCTCTAATTAGTCGAGATTGCTCTTCAAGAACTTTTGAGTCTGGCAATGTACTTGTGGTTTAGCCTAGCATCACTGATGAGACCTATGGCAGGTCGAAACAGCATGATTGGAACACAAATGCCCTGATTTTGGGCTCTAGCTTCAAATTGATAACAATAACAATTTCAACAAGCTCTTGAAGTGGTCCAACAGATTCATTCTTGAAATGTATCAATTGAGACAGCATGGTCATTGTGGTATTGGAATCGTACCAAAAAATATTCAGCTCTCCTGAAATATTTGGATAGCATTGGAATATTACTAAATTCTGTTGTATTGAAATGAATGATAATCAACTATATAACACAGAATATGTTTACAGACAACGATTTATATTTGCCCTCATCAAGAGTTTTATATTTGAAACATTTCAATAATAATGAGGATCCCAAAAATGGATCATACTTTTTCCTGTTGTGAACTATTTGATTAGTCCACTTCTTCCAAGTCTATGGAAGCATTACAGCTTCAAAGGCTTATTGCATTTTTTATCCCATCTCTTTATGAAATTAATTGTAACAGTCTGATTCCCTGTAGTAGTTTGAACAGGTCTTTTGATGGATGTTTGTCATATTCTGGAGTAGCTTTACAACAGATTGTTGTCGTTAATATTTGATATATCTTCAAGTTTTTTCTTCATCTCTTAATCTTCAATGTATTTTAGCCTATATAAAGTGTTCTCCACTTTCAACGAATTAATTATTATATTTCTACCTTTATTTATGACAGAACAGAATATTTTATTCATCACATAAAAGTTTTTACATGTGTACAGAAACATATCCACAAAAAACTTATAGGACTGGTGACAATACAACAATATAAAGTGATTAAAATATTTCTCAATTACTCTAAACATATAAAAATATATTTTCTTGAGATAAAAAAAAAACATTGAAATAAATATAGAATATAATGCAAACTGCTGTTTAAGGTTGTTGTTGTTGTATTTATTCATCTTTCAGATCATTATGATATTAGACATGTCAATAATAAAAATAATAAATAACTTTATAAATATAAATAAATGAACATATACCTATCAAATAAAACAGACACTATACAAAACACTACAAGCGATATACAGATATACAGAGACAAATTATTATAAAACAACATAATATAATTATATTGAGGGCACAAGTTGAAATCAAGAAACATATCAACGCTATAGAATCATTTGTGTCTATACATTTTTTATATTCCAGTAGAGAGTGATGTTTGTTGGAAGTAAATAGCAGTTATGTACAAGATTTTCAATAGATAAAAAAGTAATATAATTGCCGATTTCAGTATTAGTTCAATGCACATATTTCCTGACAAAAAAATTCAATTACATATCACATACATATTATTTCCCCTTGTGCATAAAAACGATGAAACAGTTTAAGGTTAAGCAGCAATCATAGAGTTTTATGGCGATTAAATGCAGATAAGATTTAAGATAAAATCCTGAGACCCACATTCTCGAGATTGTATCAAATTATTAAGTTCACACTCAAGTCATTTTCACAGCAAAATTTTTAGAATTATTGAATTGCAATTTGCACACATTTTATCCAATTAATCTTGATATACTTTGGAGAAAACCCTTGAGAATTTTTTTTAAATTATCTGAGAATTAATTTGTGTTATCTGGGTTATTGTCATGGAAGAAAAAAAGGGTTACATGTTGGTATGGAAATTGAAGACACATACTAATTTATTGGGTTTGCGTCCTTCAATGATCATAATTGAAAGTTTTATGCTACTAACTCCTGCATGGGTGTTACATATAACTTGGCAGGTTATAACAGTGGTGGTAGAAAGATAAATGGGTTTTATGAATTGACTCTATATAAACACTTTCGATATAGTATAACAAGAAAAATCTATAGCTAAATTTCAGATATATGGTATGTGAAATCACCAATGGGAATTATGTTTTTCGATTTTTTTCAGAAATAAAACAAATTGTGACCTGTGATGAAAATGATTTTTTTGTAACCCAAAACTCATTTCCATTACTGGCCACATTATTTTATTTTTCATATTTCAGTTTCATTGTTCATTTCATTTTACATTTATGAATATCATTTTCACTTTACATTTTTCTTTAACTATGAGTTTTTTATCTGTTAATACCTTTAGACATTGGAAGTCTTAACTTTCAATTTTTCAAAGGTTTATCTTTTTGCCCTTTGCCATATTCTTCAATCTTATTAATATTTTTTTGCTACTTCAACCACAATCTAATCTTCAATAATATTACAAAAGACAAAACATTCAATCTGCCTACCCACGTGACTGTTTTATAAACGAAATATTGGGCGGTATGAATAAAACTGAAGGAAATCCTCGGAAGGGGAATAGGAAATTTTCATTGAGAACAAGGTGAAAGATAAGTGATTTTTCTCAAAAATAGCAGAAGAGGAAGAAAGGCCTAAATGGGCATAAAGTGAAAGAAAAAGGAATTTCTTCAAAACATATGAATACGTTTTTTTCTTATCCTTTAAATTGTGGTTCTCATAAAATGTATTTTGATGGTAACTTGGTGGGTTCTCTAACTTCTATCTGTTCCTCCTCGTCTAGTTGTTTAGCAAAATGATTAAAATGTATGACAATCCTCGGAAGTGAAACTTGTGCAAGATAATGATTAACGAGATCTCAACTTTCAACGTGCGATTGCTAGCAAATCCTATATTTGCTATTGAATCAACATTCACATAGTGATATAACAACAGAGGCTTTCACCGCTAGAGCTTTGATTGAAGAGAACTAAATCTGGGCTGTTAAGTCGTTGTCAAATGAAATGTATAGTACCAGACAGTTTGTCTGCAACTACGGCATTAGTGGTATATACATTGACACAGGTTATATGTTGAAGACTCTGCAACGACTGACTGGCGAGCTCCATGTTCACCCCTATTCACAATTTTAGAGGGTGATGGTGGGAATGGTGGTGGGGCTGATGGTGGAGATTGTGGTGGGGGTGTTGGAGTGGTGTGCATGTGACTGCTCACCCTTGATTGGTCCGCTAATTATTAGGTTATTTACTTAGCGATTGATTGAATGAGTAGAAAAGACCATTTACGCTATCTAACCGTCCTATCGCTTACCGGTTGGTAGGCTATAATTATCATTATGGATAATGATTATGGGAATATTCTATAGCTTCACTTGTCAGACATATTTCAAGATCCAAATGGCGTTTGAGTTGTCCAACTCTTTTATTAATGCGAATCTTGTTGTAGTTTTCTTTGATCTCAATGTACCTTACATTCGCTTGAGACGAAAAGATAAAACGTGTCGTAATTCTAATTCATATTTTCCAATCGACTCAGTTACATATATAATAGTTAAAAACAAAGACATCGATATTTTCATCATTACATTATCTAAACTTGGGATACATTTCTATCAAAGTTACTAATTAACTCACCTTATGTGTTATGCTATAACACCTTATGTATGTCTGCGTGGGTGTGCTGCGTTCTCTGTGTGCTGCGTACTGTGCGTGCGTGCTGCGTACTGTGCGTTTGTGTCTGCGCGGGCGTGTGTTAGGTTAGGTCTAGAGTAGTTTGGATAGAACTATGTATATGTAATCGGATTATGTCTGTATGTACTCAGGATATGTAAATAAATTGCATTTTGAATGGTGTCATCAACCAGGGCTTTATTCTCCACCCATGATCACAAACTGTAAACAGTACAATTGAACATACAGTGCAGACGTAAATAGTTCCCACCTCATAACTTTCAAACAGGGCAAAAGTCGGACAAAATTTTTATAAAAAGGAAACATTTTCATTGTAACTATTTTCCGGGTGTGAAGACGGTGGATTTTTACGATTTCTTTCTGACCTTTCGCTGGCGCATGTGGCCAGCTTCCTCAGAGGTTTATATATCCTGAGTTAATATCTCCGGTGACTGGATATTACGGCTCCGCGAATTTATGTTGACTCCTACCTAAGGAGTCAACAGAGGGTGCTGTCAACAATTTATTCCTTACATTATGATGTGCCTGGAGTTTTTTCTTTGTAAGCAACCCCTTTTTTTTATTCACGATTTCTGAAAAGAACTCCGATTGTGCATGTTACACTACAGATGTCGCGTATCCCATCATAAACATCGACAGACATCAAATCCTGTGATATCGGCTCTGAATTTTCATAAAAAGGAGGTACCTCTTTATCACGACAGGCTGGTTCGAAAATGGATAGATGACAATTATCCAAACTGGTGGATCCCTTAGAATGACCTGCTAGGTTTTTTGTGGGGATTCGTGTAAATATAAAGTATATGTTACACAATCACAGTCTATTCCAGACCTCATGGTTACAATAAAATGCACTCGTAACAAAAATTACCCCAGAAATATTCCATAAAGTAAGAAATTAATTTGTAAATAAACTTCAATATTATCAGGAAGTGAGTGGGTAACATTTTTTATATATATTGGAATTAACTGGAATGAGTTTTGAATACTTTTTTTCTTGAAATTTTATTTATCGTTTGTTTGCAGATCCTTGAAACGAATATGAAAATACTAATTACTCAGGAAAGGCTGATCGGATTTCTATAAATGAAATATGGTTGGATAGTGAATTGAAATAACTATCAAAAGAGCTATTATAAGACCCCCTTTCCATTAAAAAAATGTTTATAGCGCCCTCTCGGCGACGAGTTATGCAACACTATTGTCTTTCTTGTCAAAAAATCAAAAAAAGTTATCTTTTCATTTAAATTTTGTCGGAGTTTGATATTTTGTCCCTTTTGAAAGGTAAGTGAGGGAGGCATTATCTACGTCCACACCGTATACTATAAGTTAGCGTTACTTGTCGTATGGATATGCTGTAATGCTCAAAACTCCTGCTGTCAGGCGTTCAACGTTCCTCTTTTCTGCTCACTTTCATTCATCCTCACCTTACAGTGTTCTCAATTCTAGTGTTTCTTTCTTCTAGAGAGAAGTTATTTCATCTTTTTATTGATACTACCCATTGACTGAAAACCTAGCCTGCAATTTAGAATTCAAATATGCTCTACAGATCTAGATTTCAGGATACTCTTTAACCTGCATGATATACATTGTGAAAATAGTTTGACAATGTTTGAAAATAATGCATTAACGAATTATTTTCAATTTTGGAAAGTTATGCTCAAATTGTATTTTTATTAAACGGTTTCAAAGGAACAATGGGGTGGATTGTTAGTTAAAAATGAATTCAGATATCAAATTGAATAAGAATAATATATTTAATTATTTATTTATTTATGGGCCAAAACCAATTTAACTCATTACATCTTGAAAATAAATTCTTCTTTCAGAAACTTTTCTTAGTCTCACTGTTGAATCAAAGTTTAGAAACATACAGTGTATCTCACTTCTCATGGAAACACCCCCGTATCTTCCGTAATATTCGAGGTAGAACGATGAAATTCTCAGGACTGATGGAAATGCTCAAAATGCACCTACCACCTGAATGGGGTTAGCCAAAGTGATATACACTGTCCGCCACTCGCGATGGAACACCCCATTTTTACTGTGGACGGATAGTGTATATCACTTTGGCCAACCCCATTCAGGTGGTAGGTGCATTTTGAGCATTTCCGTCAGTCCTGAGAGTTTCATCGTTCCACCTCGAATATTACGGAAGATACGGGGGTGTTTACATAAGAAGTGAGACAAATTCGGATTTTTCAGGACTGAAATTTTTTCAGGAAAGAAGTGTAATCGTAGTAAGTTGGTAGTCCTGATCACGAATCTGAAGGAATTTTGAGCCTATTTTGCCCCCTAATATGTTTTATCGTAAAAATGAGGTGTTCCATCGCGAGTGGCGGACAGTGTATATCACTTTGTCCAACCCCATTCAGGTGGTAGGTGCATTTTGAGCATTTCCATTAGTCCTGAGAGTTTCATCGTTCCACTTCGAATATTACGGAAGATACGGGGGTGTTTCCATGAGAAGTGAGACTCACTGTATAACCTGAGCCTCAAAAGTAGACTTTAATTTTACTCTCAGTGCTTTAGCATCATTGGAATTATTTTGCCCCATCCTCTGCATGTTGACGATGATGGAAGTAGAGATTACAATTTCACTCAGCACCTCATTGACTTTTTCGGTTTTATTATGGCAAATTAAAAATCATGAGATTGCAGTTGTTTGCAGGTGCAGGTTGAAAAGGTGTTTTTGAAACTCAGAAATAATGATTTCTTTCCATAGAAAATACAGCAGGTGGTTAGAAATTGTATTGTTTCTCAAAGATTTGAGTTTTTTTACTTCACTTAAATTCATTATTTACAAAAATTCTTTAATAAAATGTTTTAGAAGGAATATGAAAATTAATTGCAACTTATATAATAACAAAAAATAATGGCTTGCTAGTAAACTATATATTCTGAGGGTGATTATATTTTCCATCCCATAATGTACTTCCTTACTGCTTTTTTTTTCATGATTTGAGTCTGATTACATTTTCAGAACTTGTGTCTGGAATGGAGGCTCATTCAATAATCCATGTGGCATGTGGCTCCATGCATTCAATGGCCCTCAACCAGTGGGGACAAGTTTTTACCTGGGGATCAGATTATCATGGCCAATTAGGACAAAGCTTAGGAGAAAACGTTCAGCCTATTCCAAAAATGGTCAGAGCCTTAGCAACATACCACATTATTCAGATTTGCTGTGGGCAAAGACATTCTGTAGCTCTGGCCAATAGTGAGTATCGATCGTTACTTCAACAAACCATGTCACAAACGTGATGATCCATATTTTGAATGAATAACATTTTTTTTTGTGAGATTTTCACTTGTCAGTTTAACAAAACCGTCACACGTATTTAACAATACATTAGTTATTAGGTTGTTTCAAAAGTTTTGTCCGTTTTTACGAGTCTACTTTCAATTGTAATATCTCAGTAAATACTTATTCAATTTAATCGAAATAAGCGTCATTTCAAGCAGTGCACTGTCGCTAATGTATCACAAGTCGATTAATTACGTCAGCATAAAAATTGTGTACTTGGGATTCGATGAAGTCGACTAAGCTACTTTTTGCCTGGTCCTGATTGGTGAAGGTTCTACTGGTGAGAAAGTTGTTAAAGTGCTTGAAAAGATGGTAGTCACTTGGACAGAGGTCTGAGGAGTATGGTGGGTGAGGCAGAACTTTGAAACTCGAGCAGTCATTTGTGAAACGTGAGGACGGGCGGTGTCATGAAGCAGGATTGGACTCTTCTGTTGATCAGTGCCGGCTGCTGCTGACGCAATTTTCGGTATATTTCGTCGATTTCCTCACAGTAGGACTCTGCTGTGATGGGTTGGTCCGATTGCAGAAATTAATAGTGTATCACACCAGATGCTGACCACCATACAGTGACCATTGCCTTTGGGAAGTGCCTGAGGGGCTCATCGGTCCCGAACGTCTCTTGTTGTCGTAGAGAATCCACTTTTCATTACAAGTGACGATCCAGTCCAAATCGTGGGGAAGCCACTTTTTGGGCTTCCTTATCTTTTCAATACGTTTCAAACCTCAAAAACCGTACTGTTTGTGATAGGTCAGTCTTCAACAGGGTCCTCAAATCCTCATTACCGTAGGTCCACAAAATCTCTGGAACGAAATTTCGCAAACCAACGTCTAACAGTTCGTTTATTAATCGTAGAGAAAAATTTGCTGAAAATCGCCTAACGACATCATATATAAGCTTAGATGAGGCAAAAATTGAAATTTGGAGAAAAATGAACAGCATCAATGTATAGAGATGTGGAGCTTCAAAGACGCATGGCATTAAAAGGACAAAACTTTTGAAACCACCTTCCATACCTAACTCAACCAACATTAATAAAGGATTTCATTTTTTATAATGGTGGAAAATTATTCAATCACTTACCAGTAAATATGAGGTCTGCAAATCTGCCCAACGTACAATTCAAGAAAGCAGTTATAAATATGCTAGCTGATAGACCCTATTATACCCTACAAGAGTATTTCAATGAATCATTTTAAAAAAAACGTGTATTACATTTTATTTTTATTATATTTGTACTTGTTTTATTCAAATTACCAGTTTTTATCTATAAACCATTAGTTATGTTTTTATTTATACTTTGTCAATGGGATGGAAAATCTTCTGACATTGAAGTATACTTTAATTTGATTTGAACCTAATACTTCAGGTGTGTTCAGTACTAACTGATTTATTCTCTACATTATGATTTTCATGACTTGAATCATAATGACTATTACTACCTAACTATCAAAATTTTACAATTCTAGGAGCAAACTCATTAAGCTACATATATAATAAAAACAAAAACTACCTTATAAAAAACATACATTTCATCATTACTAATTTAACAAAGAAGAATTATTCAGATCTATTCAAATCATCTAAGAGAACAATTCGTTCTCTTAGATGATTTGAAGTATGCCCACTGACTATACGTGAAACAGATCTATTCAATCGAATTCATAAGTATACTGATTTTTAACCTTTCTGTTCCGAATGTAATACATCGTAATCATGATTGAACTCATACCTCTGTACCAAAAGACGGTTTGTATATGTTGATTTGATACGTTATGGAATTTGCCGATACTTGATAAAAATCCATACCATATTTAGGTGACACTTTTGTAAACTGTCCAGTGAACATCTCACAATAAAGTGTTACTTAAATATGTTGAATTGTTATTCTAATTCATGCTGTGTCTTTATTGTTTTCAATAAATTCGCTCAGATTTGTAGGTAACGCCCAACTGTTTCTAAAAAAAAACTAGTGATATTATTCGTGGGTTCACTAAAGTATGTTGTCACATAATGTTTACTATCGTTTCTTGAAATTGGATAGACCTGGTTCAAAGCTTATTTCATTAGGTAACGTTTCAACGAGATGGTCTTATTTTTACTGATTCGGTTTTTATACCTTTTTCACTCACTGCGTGTTATATACGAGAACTGTTTTCTATGAAACTGATATTTGACCAGGTTTATTTGTCAGTTTGTCTTTGTCACCCAACGGTTAACTTTTTTCAGCTGTTCTACATGTTTTTTGAACGTTTTTCTTAATATGACAATGTCATTCAGGTATGCAAAGGCATAGTTCATATCTAGAGTAACTACTGTGTCAAGAAGTCTCCCAACGTAGATGCCACTGTTTGCAAACCTTATGTAAGGGGTTGGATGTGAAACAATCTAGAAAACAACCAAGAACTGTGAATGCGGTTTATAAACAAGGGTACCAGCCAGTAACTTGATCGTAGTTCCTGTTCTGAAACTTTATTTACTTGTTGAAAATCTACCCAAAATTGGTATTTATTGTCCTCAACCAGAACATTTGGTGAACTCCTTAGATTGTTCCACAGTTCAACTAGTTTGTCTTTCAACGTCTGGTCGAAGATCCTTTTTTCTGTTGAAATGTACCTTCCATTTCAATTTGTGTATCCAGTCCAAAACAGGATCTTTTTTTTTTTTTTCTATCTTTTTCATCATGACATAATTTCGTCCACTATACAATTGAAATTTCCTTTGTGCCTTTTTTACATTTTTTCTACATCTGCTCAAGCGCCAATTGTAACATGATTTATGTTGTATAATCTGAATTAGCTTTGAAAATTTCTCCACACTGAGTAGTGAATCTTCAAATTTTGAAAAAAGAGATTATCCTTTTTCCAAGCATAATAATTAACTCTCTAACAATAATTTTGTAGGTTGTTCTTATGAGTTTGTGATTAAGCCAAACAATGTGGAGGATTTTAATAGAGGTTATAGGATGTGTCAAGTAGTTTCTGTATTTATCGTATGTCTAATTTCAATGAGTTTGTTTCTAGAATGATGGAAATTCGGTAGATAGGTAATGATAGTCATTATAATCCAAATTACTATAATATACAAAAATCAGTATGTAGAAAATGAGTTAGTATTGAACACTCACGAAGAAGCTTTCAGTACTCTGCATAGTGAAATATGTGTTGCAGTTTTATAGACTGTTTATTGAAAATCTCTCCAAACTTCTATTCAAATACATTATAATGGATTTTTATTAAATATTGTCAGTTTCATCTTGGATCAATTTTCAGCTTATAAGTTAATGTAAAAAGTTGCACACATGAATTATTCACCATGTGCAACTTGTTTTCATGATCTCTATACTTTCAGTAAACAAGCTTGAATATATCATATGATTGGTTATACAAATTTGGAACAATTTTTTTTTGCAGCTGGTGAAGTTTTAACGTGGGGAGCAAATAGCTTTGGACAACTTGGTCTGGGTACTTGTTCACAAACTGAAATTATGCCAACTGTTGTCAAATCTCTTAATGGACTTCCTGTGGCATTCATTGCTTGTGGAGCTAATCATACTTTTGCTGTCTCGAAATCTGGTGCTGTGTATGGCTGGGGTGAGAGATTTTACTATTGTTTTCTTCAAAAAATATGTGTGAGGTGATTTACATTTTTTTTTTCATCTAATGTGCAATTCTAATTTTATGTACTAATTGCCTCATAATTTGTATTTCGTTGCGAGTGAGAGATTATTTTTATTCTATTTGATATTGACCTCAATTTGTTAAATAAACTCCTTCTGAAAATTATTTATATAAGATAATGTCCGTATATGATTTGTGGAAAATTTCAAAATCATATTGATTATCAATTCAGTTTGGTTTTTACAAAGCTTTTCAAAAAGTATGTTTATAACTCTTTCTTTCCTCAAATCAAATACATTATAGATAACACTTGATCATCATTATTTTTTCACTTCAAAGAGTACTATTAGAATCCTTATAACATTAATTCAAATCACAAGTAAAGCTGTTGATAACCATCATCAAGTAGATGTGATCTACATCACCTTTTCGAAGGCCTTTGATCACTCTATAGTATTAAATAAATCCAGACGTTAGTTCCGACAGTGTATTGTTGAATGATATCTCTGTAGGTATTTCATGTGGGTCTCTTATTTGGTGATGTTCTTAAACTATTTAAGGTAGTAAAAACTGTTATAGTCAGACTTGACAAATTGATGTCCACAAAGCCAACTTTTCTGTAATATTAAAAATTCCAAATGATGTTATTTTTAATAATTTGTAACAAAAAAAAATTTGACAATGGTAATTATGGACAACAGCTGGAACATGGCAAAATAAAGAATTTGCGAATTTGATTCGAATCTAAACTTTTTTTCAACTTGCATGTGGAAAAGTACAAATTCCTCAACAAGAAACATGGAATTTTTGTACCGAGCATGTGAATACTTCAGTAATGTTACATCTCTCAAAACATTTTAAATTAGTATATAATATTTACCTATAGTTTTCTGATTTAAAAATTGGACGAATGTAGCTGTTTTTATAGGCTAGGGACAATCCCTATAGTCGGGAATGCCATTGGGGACAATACTTAACTTATCTGATGAAGATAGCGTTTTATCAAAAACTTTCTCAATAGATATCACAAAATTGTGTATATTATAATCTATATTAAATGGAGCGTTATGATCAATATCAGAAGTTCTTCTTAAATATACTGTCGAGAAATAATTGGCGAAATAATTTGCAATCTGTTCACTGTTTGCTCCCATCATGTCACCATTATACATAGTATCGAGTGAGTCATTTAATTATCTTGAGGTTTTACTTGAAAAACTCTGGCTGGTAGGAATTAGGGGTACAGCGGCAAAATGGTTTACCTCATACCTGTCAGATAGAAGTCAATTCGCTCAAATATCTCATAATGAACCAGATGGGTCAATAAGTAGGTATCGCTCAGGACATGTAAGGATGGAAGTAGGTGTTCCGCAAGGTAGCGTACTAGCCTCAATACTGTTTTCACTATACACTGCTGATCTAGTTGAATATATACCAGACTACAATATAACTATGTACGCTGATGATTCAGCCTTTATAGTGGACCGAGAATGCATCGAGGCCATTGAAGATGACTGCACCATATTACTAGGGAAACTAGGGGAGTGGTTCTCCGCCAACCGATTGTTTCTCAATTTGGAAAAAACCGAATTTGTGATCTTCCATACCAGGCAACGGGCTATTGATAAACACGTTTCAGTAAAACTAGACAATATCTACATCAACCAAAATATGCATGTGAAATTTTTAGGAATGACTTTAGGAGATACGCTTTACTGGCATGAACATGTAACTAGTATGATAAAGAAAATAAACACAAAAATCTATTCCTATCCCAGAAAAGAGCGATAAGAACTATAATGGAAAAGCCTAAAAAAACCTCATGCAAATCCCTATTCGCAGAATTGAATGTCCTCCCATTAGCCGGTCTCTATTTATTGGAAATAGTATGTCATATCTACAGAATAAGAAACACTTCCAAAATACTATGATGTACACCCATATCAGACTAGGTCTAAAAACCTGATCTATCCCAGAGCTCAGTCTTGATCTGGTGTCACGGGGACCAAATTCGATAGGCATAAAAGTATACAATAAGCTGCCAGACAACATCAGGAATGAGACTACATTCTTCAGATTCCGAAGCGCCATGAAAAAATTCTTACACATAAATCTATTTTATGATTTAAATGAATTTCTCGATATGAAATAATACTCTGACCACTGTATATATATGTGTTAATTATTTTTAAACTTTTTTACTTGTTAAGTTGTTTGTAATGTAACTTTATAATTGACATGTTCTATGCCCAACAGGGCCTATGAATGAAATAAATGATTCTGATTCTGATCTTTTACTATCTATATTTTTCCAGAAAAGTTTAGGGTTAGTGTGCAAAGTTATTTGTATTGGGTGCTAATATTTGCATTTTCAAAGACAAGATAGACACAACCACTAGTTTGTGTAATGTCATCAAAGATATCTTAATATTCAGCGAATATTAAATATTCATTGATAATCAAAATTTACATTTTTAACATGTACATATCGTGTAACTAATTTTGAGGTAATTTAACACAATACGAAGAGAATATGTTTCTTGTTGTGCAACAGAATTCTGTGAGAAATGTAAACAGATTATTAAACTTGCATTGCAGTTGAACTTTTTTATTCTAGGTAAGAATAGACGGGGGCAACTTGGTTTGAACGACACTGATAACAAAGTGTTTCCTACACAACTTCGAACCTTAAGAGCCATCAGGGTTAGGTACATTTCTTGTGGTGAGGAATTTTCAATTTTTTTGACACTTGATGGTGGGGTTTTCACATGTGGAGCTGGTATGTTTGGACAGTTAGGGCATGGAACAAATTTTAACGAAATTCTTCCTCGTCAGGTCAGTGTAAAAGTAACATTTGCTCTAATATCCAAAAGTGACAATAAGTTGAGCTATTTGACACCAGATGAAAATTCAGAATCATTTTTTTTATTTTCTTTACTCTAATAAATCACACTTAAACTCAGTAGATAAAAACAAGAAACGAATCCACCTTGTATTATTCATACACTTATTTATACTAATCCGAACATTCACATGTTTAAATCGTGAGATATTTGACTAGAAACTGAACTGAATTCATGTCTTATCAAGAGAAAATAGTTCCTATTTAACAACCTGAGAGTGCAGTGAAAACCCAAGAAAATGATGAATAAATTATTAGAATTAATTTTGGGGGCCTATAGCAACCTTTTCAATATTGAATACATTCATGGATCTTTTAGTGGATGAAACCTGGGTTCAGTTGAGTTTGTGAGTATAATACTGAACATGATTTTAAATCTCTATCTCTTACTTGGTATACTGTGATGTCAAATGAGTATCCATTGATGAATTGTGTCTCCTTTGAATTTTACTTCATTCCAAAAATTCAAAAACATAATAATTGAAAATAATACTGTACCTATTTTTACATTATTAAGTTTATTACTATTGTTTCCTTATGCACATCGCAAACTGCACAAATCAATATAATGCAGAGTACACTAGATTGCTGGTTGACACTGGAAGTCACAGCACACTCTGGGAATGACCTCTGACATTATGCCTCCAACTTTCAAATATGAACTGCCTTATATAGTACTTTTCTCGAGTAGAGAGGATTTGATCCTCCGGGAGAAGGAAATTTTAAGAGCAGATTGTTGTTGGTTCACAGATGGATCAAAAACACCTTGGGGCTCTGGTGCAGGTATTTTCAGTTGCAGAACCAGGACAGAGATATCAACGTGCCTAGAGATCTATGCGACTGTATTTCAAGCGGAAATCTATGCTATTTAATTGTGTGCGGATAGATTGGTAGAATCCCACCTCACACAGAAGCCAATAAAAATTTTCTCGGACAGTCAAGCGGCATTGGAAGCTCTTGGCTCCTACCGATCAACATCTAAGTTGGTAGTAAATTGTCAAAAACGAATCTCCTCAATAGGAAGACTTAACAAATTGTCTCTGGTGTGGATACCTGGCCACACTGCCCTGAGAGGCAATGAGGTTGCTGACTCCCTTGCAATGGTGGGTGCTGCAAGTAGCTTCATTGGACCAGAGCCTTTCATTGGCATTGCGTTAGGTTTTGCCAAAGAAACATTAAACACCTGCATGGCAAGAAGATTCATAGACTTCTGGCAGAATCTTCCAGGAATGGCTGACTCCAAGGCGTTTATTCACTTTTCGAAGCTTGATTCCGAACTGTTGAACTACAGTAGGGATGAATTACAATGTCTAACAGGCCTCCTTATAGGTTACTGTCGTCTAAATCGTGTAGAGACTCGAACTGTCGGAAGACAGTGTGTGTCTTCTCTTTTTGGGAAATTATGAAACGAAGAGCATATACTTTGTGCCTGCCCTGCTGCGGACCGAATCAGGTTTTCAGAGTTTGGTAGAACCACACTTCTACCATCTGACCTGAAAGATCACTCACCATTTAAACTAATCGGCTTCGTCAAGAAGCTGGGTTTATTTGTTCGAGTTTGAATCTGTGTGAGCAACAATAAGCCTATGCGGGTTGCCTTTGGAATAAGCCACTCACTTGTGACCTAACCTAACCTAACCATGTCAAGAGAGAAGAGTCCCTATTCAACAACCTGAGATTGTAGTGAAAACCCAAGAAAATGATGAATAAATTAATAGAATTGAATTTCTAAATAATATTTTTCTGGATCTATAGCTATCTTTTTAATATTGAATACATTCATGGATCTTTTAGTAGAATGAAACCTGGGTTCAGGAAAGTTTGCGACTGTAATACTGAACATGATTTTAAATTTAACTGTGATAACCGAAACAGTTTTAAGTTCTTCATTTTGAATAAAATTACGGGTGTTTTGCATTATACCTTGTAAGTCTAAATCACAGAACGAATAAAATGCACTTTTAACAAAGTTATTTCAGTTCGAAGGAGAAATGAGTTTTTGATAGAAATCTTTTTGGCTTTCATTTCTCCATCTTTATATATCAAAAAAATTGTGAAAAACTTCCAAAGGATGGAAGAAAGCATTAAGTTTACAATAAACTCTTCACGAAGATGTGTAGATCATGTGTAGAAGTTACTTTTTGACACAAATTGTAATATTATCCAGATGTTTTATTCTGAAACTTTGAAGTCTGTCATTGAAGATGATAGAGTTCCATGTAAGTGAAATTGAATGTTCATGTGACAGTAGTTGTTTATGGATGGTTTTTTCCAGTTTGTGTGTGAAAGCAACTTCTGTGGATGATCTACTAATCTTTGTGAAGAGTTTATTTCAAACTTAATTTCTCTCTTCGTTTCTTTGGAAGTTTCCCACAATTTCTTGTACAAAGAAGGAGAAATTGAAGTGAAAAAGTTTTACTGATTGAATTTTAATAAAATAACCAATAAAGGATCAACTATTGTTCTTTGTGTTAGATGTGATTATCACATGTCATACCCACTATGGAATTAAAAAAAATTGAATTTCTATGACAAGAAATAGCTGTGTTGAAGCTAATCAAATAATACAATTTACTGATTTTGTTGGACTTGGTCTGCCGGTTTTTATGCATTAAATATTACATTTTTCAAAGTGTGAATTTTTGATTCAATTTCATTAGTGGTGGGAGTGGCTTCCTTGTATTAGTTGTGTTGAATGATCTGACTCCTTTGTTGTTGAGTTATTTGTGTTAAGTCTTTCTCCATATATAATCTTGTATAGTAGCCCTGGGTTTTATTAAGTTGTTGGATTTGTTCGACCTAATAATGTGATGCCTTCTCCAAATGCACGTCTAGCACCTGCTGATTTAACATGCATATCAATGTCCGAGGCGACAATTTTCTTTTTGTTCAGAGAGCCGGAATCCAACGTAGACAGATCCTCAGTTACAAGAGATTTGTTGTACCACCCTCGGTATTGCTAAAGGCTCTCTAGGGTCTTTAGATGAGCTTAGACTCTGTCTTATCAGATAAAATGAAATCTCAAATTCACAGAGGCAATTTCAATTGAAAGGGAAAATAATTAACATAAATGAAGTTTGGCTACCTGCATTCAATAAGAAGAATCCGCCCAATTAACTTAAGTAGCTAGGAACCTAAGTAGCTCCAATGGAATGAAATCAGAAATCCAAATCTGGAACTATGTATTACATGTTTTGAGAACAACTAAAGCATATAATGTGTCGGTTGATCGTCTTTGATAATGCCTACCGCAGTTGTGGACTAAAAGTCGGACAAAAATCTGCAGACCCTGTAGACCCAGAAAATAGCTTTGACCCAATCTATGGAAGGAACAGATGAATAATGCGAAAACACTCCATCACAACAATATGCCAACACCGGTAAAAAAATCTTGAAAAACTAATAATGTTTGTTCCGTTATTAGTCTAAACTGATGGATTTGAAATTACAAAAAAAAACTGGCATCACAAGTGCGAATTACCACTATAGTGATAGTAAAATAGTTGAGAAAATAAGTAAGTGTAAACTTACAAGTATTTTAAACATACAGAAATGTTCTTACTTCAATTTCAAATTGAATTTTGTGTATTTGTACCATATGTACTAGAGATAATAGTAATAATAATAATAATAATCGTCTTTATTATCTTCATAAAATATGTAAAAAAAACAAGATTGAGGAAATACACCAACAGAATTTTTTTTTGAAATTGAAGGGCGAAGTTCAGTTCAGTTTCTGAATAAATTCAACAACTGAACTGTTCTTCCACTTAAACCTGAAAAATACCTCTCTATTGAATTTTCTTTAAATAATACAAAAACAAAGGAAAAATATACAAATTTGTTCACACTACGGCAAGTAAGTTTACAGAAGTAGGAGCAAAACGATGTGAAGTTCTGAAATCATATCACTGACGTGTATTGAATAAATGGCTAAATAGATAATTGAATTTTTGGAACCCAGCTGTACGTAATTCGAGGGGAAAGTCATTCATCACATGGCATATTTGATAACTGAAACACCTGCGGAAAGACTCAGTTTTAAAAGAAGGTGGAGTAAGTGTTCCCCTGAACCTGATATCGACGTTATGTACATCCGTTCGAAAAGAAATTTTTCTTTGAAGATAAGCAGGCTCTCTGGTAAGAATAATTTTATGGAATAGGTTGGCGGCATGCAAGATTCTTCTGTTATTCATATTTAACCAATAGGCATCTTTGAGCTTATGAGAAATTCTCAAGAACATCTTATTCCATAAATAAGTCTCAAGCACGAGTTTTGTACTTTTTGAAATATGGTCCATAGACAGTATTAGCATAGTTAAAATGTGATAAAACTAGTGCTTCACATAATACTAATTTCAATTTTAGTGGAAGATACTGCCTAACTCCATATATCAATTGTAAAAAAGAATATGCACATCGTATTAAGTTATTCAAGTTCTTTTCGAATTTGAGAGTGTGGTCAAAGATGGATCATAACAACTGGTACAGTCTATGTTGAAATTATCACTTATAAACTGATATGTTTCTTAGTTATTAATGACTGAACAGCTTCTTTCTTTTCAGGAATTATTTGATTGATGAATTTAACAAGTTTGTTTGTTTGAAGGTGATTGATAAGGTTTCATGATGAATTTTACTAGTCCGGACTTCCATTGTCTACTATATAAAATGATTTGAAATTCCTGAAACAACTAAAAAAGAAGAATTGAAAATGAATAGCTGAAAATAACAATTATATTAATCAAAATAAACCTGAATGAAATAATACTGAAATAAAATACAAGTAAAAATAGAACAATTGAATAAATAAAAATGAAGAAATGAAAAAAATAAATGAAAATAAAAAGTGGAGATATTCCAAAGTCACGTTAGTTCACTATAAATAAAAATAAAGAAATGAAAAAAAGGAAATAAAAGAAACAGTGGACTAACGTGACTTTGGAATCTCTCCACTTTTTATTTTTATTTATTTTTTTTCATTTCTATATTTTTATTTATTCAATTGTTCTATTTTTACTTGTATTTTATTTCACTATTATTTCATTTCAGGTTCATTTTGGTTAATATAATTGTTATTTTCAGCTATTCATTTTCAATTCTTCTTTTTTAGTTGTTTCAGGGATTTCAAATCATTTTATATAGTAGACAATGGAAGTCCGAACTAGTGAAATTTAACAAGTTTGTATTGATCAACTTAAGATTTATTGGTGTCTACTATTTTAAATTGATTGAAAGTTTATAAAAATTAATGAATGAAAAATATTCTTCAGTTCATGCCATGAACCTCAGATTCTCTATTTTGTTTTATCTAAACTACACATATCAACAATGACATTATTTTCAGTAAGTCATTATTCAATATTATTACTCAGGTCATTGAACTGATGGGCTCAACTATAACCCAAGTAGCTAGTGGACGACAGCACTCTTTGGCTCTTGTGCCTTCGAGAGGAAGAGTTTACAGCTTTGGCATTGGAGGGTCCGGCCAGTTGGGTCTTCGAAAAGCTACCAGTGCCTCAACACCCCAGGTCGTTTTAGGACCATGGGTTTCTCCTAGTGGAATGTCTTTAGTGCCTACGTCAAGTGATATTAAAAATTTGGTCATCCAAAGGATATATGCAGGTTAGTATATTCTCCATTGTCAAATTTTTGCAACTCGTGAATAGCAATAAGATGAATGTTCAAATTTCGTGAGCTACGTACATTCGATTAGTGACTTTTTAATTTTGTTATATTGGTACACTCGTCTCGAACATATGTTCACAGTTTCAGCTGTTTAGCATGTTTAGTTTGTTATTGAAAGGCATAAAAGTTAGACGTGCTATGGGAAAAAATAGATCAAAGAATTTGCATCCAATTTTGTGTAAAAAATGGAATTGAGTGCTCAAAAATACTTGAAATGTGGGTAGTGGCATATGGTGGTTGTTCTCTGAGTCAAAAAAATGAGAGAAAGAGAAAATGTTGAGAAAGTGAAGAAAATTTTAATGGAGAATTGTCGAATCACTATTACAGAAGTTGCTGAGGATGTCGGCATATTATCGGTTGGTTCATGTCATGTAATTTTTTCGTGAATTTTGGGCATGAAGCTTGTGGCAGCAAAGGAATCTCCCAGGAATTGTTGAAAGATGTCAACGGCGATCTAGATTACCTTAAAAGGGTCATAACTGGTGACGAATCATGGGTATATGGTTATGACATGGAAACCAAAGTCCAATTGTCCCAATGGAAGAGCCCAGGAGAGCCAAAATCAAAAAAAGCATGTCAGGTTCGATCAAATGTCAAGATTTTGCTCACGGTTTTCTTTGATTACCATGGTGTAATGCATCAGGAGTTCTTGCTACTTGGTTGTATGGATAATAAGGAGTTATGCGCCGCTTCCAAGAATCTGGTGTTGTGGAAAAACCACTCGTGTCTTTTGCATCATGCCCAGTTCATAATTTTTTGCCCGAAAACAACACCATAATTATGCCTCAGCCACTATATTCACCAGATTTTCCCCCTGCGGTTTTTTCTGTTCCCAAGATTTAAGAGTCACATACAAGGACGGCATTTTGCGACGATTGAGAGGGGACATACCTCTCTTTTTGGTATTTCAAGAACATACATGTTTTGAGAAAAATGGAAATTCTACTCAATTTTTTAACAGAGCTGAGATCAACTACAACGTTGAATATATTTTTACCTGCAATGGTATTCGTTTAGGGAATAAACATGGTGAACGTACTAATCGTATAATTGGATGAATAAAAAATGTAGGTACATTATCAGAGCAAATTTTTTTTTCCACAAATATACTTTGCGCAGTAACGAAATAACCTCAATCGCTCACTCAGACTCTCAATTTTGGATACATTAACATTGATATATATCTTTCATTTCAAGTAAAAGTATTTTCTTCACGTCATCAGCTCTTAGGCCTTAGGTTAATAAAAGTTATCATTATTATGATCTTACTGACTTCAATTGCAATTGTCTTGTGTGTGTCTTGTTACTTTCAGCATACACAACAGTTACTTTGTAGATTGTAGATGAAAATGTGAAATTTTTCAGAGAGTTTTGAAATGCACCTCAGTTTGTTAACTAAGTGTGATTCAATCAGCTTCTTTGTTGGTGATGTTTTGTTTCTCTGTATAAATATATAGATACAGTTATGATAAATGTAGAAAAATTGATAAAAGTAAAGGTTTTAATGAGAATATTGTAAAAAATGAATTGTTAAAGCATACTTTTTGTGGTTATTTTTGCGTCACTCAGAGTCGATTGTAGTAACAAATTATGAAGGGAAGCGACAACACTGTCTAGGGTCTAATGTTTTGAAAATAAGGTTAATTTTAATAATGAATCAAATAGTTTTTTTTTGCGGTTTGACAACTTATGGAAAATTTATTAGTTTGAAAAACATTCAATACTGTTGCGTCACCAAATTGAGTTTTTTTATGGAATTGTATGCGATATGGCGATATGGCGGGGTGAGTGGCGGGGGGTCACTGTCTCTCTCTTATGGGTCCCGATCGCATCCAACGCCAGGGTACGTCTGGGGGGCCTAACCGGCCCCCCAGGCCCCCCGGTGCGGTCGTAACTATGACTCTCTTAATGGTAGATTGGTAGATTTAAAAAACAAGTGAATAGTATTCACTTGTTTTTTAAATCTATAGTTCTTTTGAAAACTGTATTATCATTGAGTACATGTCCTGATGAAAAATTTCAGAAAATATGGTAAATTCCTGATGATGTAACAAAAATTCAAATAACCTGAAAGAGACATTGAATTTGCAATTATTGCATTTATAATCTATCAGATTCAGAACTCTCAACTGATGGCTGTGCAGTGTTGTCAATTGTCTCATCCTAGCTTGTTAATGAAGTTGATTTATCCATTTCCAACGATTGCTATAAAAATATATTGTTTTATTTTACCTCTGTTTTAAGTAATTTAAATTTTTTATACATTAAACCACATCTTAGTGAATACTAGAAATGGTTTTCAGGTGGAGATCACTGTTTTGTTTCGGTTATCAAGCAAGAAAGCAAAGTACCTCCATACGATTGTCGTGAAATAGATCCACAAACACAAATTCTATCAATATCATATGATTACATTAAAAATTTGTTACGAATTCCTTGTGACAATCCAGTTGATCAAGATGTGCTAACATACCTCGAGACGGTTTTTAAGAGTTTATCTTGTATCAATGGTTCTTTCCTCTTGGATGACGACAGACATTATTACTGCAGTAGTAAACATCATGGCGTTGACATTGCTGTGGCAGAATCTACTTTTTCCCTCATTGGTAGAATTGAGAACAAAAGCATTACAGAATTGGTGAGTATGCAGTTATGAGAAATATTCTGGTTTTTTGGAAAATCCATTTTCTGTTTTTTTATTTTTCTTATATTACATAAATATTGGAAAACTTCCAAAAAAGTATTTTCGACATATTTGTAGGGGTTGAAATTCAGCAATATGAACTAGTGAAATTTCAACAGCTTTTGTTATTGGTTGTATCATAAGTTTTGTCCGTTTTTTTTCCTCTACTTTAAACTGTAATATCTCAGTGAATACTTATTCAATTTAATGGAAATTGGCGTCATTTGAATTGGTGCAATTTTGCCAACGTAACACAAGTTGATTAATTCCGTCAGCATAAAAATTGTGTGTTCAGGATTCGTTGAAGTTGACAAAGGCTGTTTTTGCCTGGTCCTGATTGGCGAAGGTTCTACCGATGAGAAAGTTATTGAAGTGTCTGAAAAAATGGTATTCGGTTGGAGAGAGGTCTGGGGAGTATGGTGGTTGAGGCTGAACTTCGAAGCTGCTAATACAATTTTTGGTTTATTTCCTGGATTTCCCCACAATAGAATTCTATTATACTGTGATGGTTTGGCCTGGTTGCAGAAGATTTTAGTGAATCACCCCAGCCACTGACCACTATACAGTAACCATGAACTTTTTTTGGTAGGTTTCCGCCTTTGGGAAGTGTCTGAGTGGCTCATCGTTGTCCAATCATTGTTCTGAACGTCTCCTGTTGTCTTTGAGGAAACACTTTTCATCACACGTGATGATTCAATCCAAAAAAAGATCGTTTTGGTGGTTCAAAAACGAAAAAGAACAGACCTCGAGACATGACACTTTCCGTCAATAGTTCAAATTGTGGGGTACGCACTTTTCAAGCTTTTTGATCTCTCTAATACGTTTTGAACCGTCAAACACCTCATGGGAACTGACGCCCAGTTCTTCCTTCATCCCACTCACCGTTTGTGGTAGGTCAGTCTCCACCAGGATCCTTAAATCGTCATCCTAGAGAGAGTCGACCACAGTGGTGCGTTAATTAACACTAACATTTCCAAATGCCTGGCTAATTTTTCGGGATGTTTCTTAATTGTTTCTGTAAATGTTTTCCTCATGCTGTTTCCTGTACATATATTGTGGAAATAAGTACTACTATTACTATTAATCTTAACTATTGTGACAAGCAAAAAATGATTTATTTTTGACAAAATTGTCACTTACACTGCATGTTTTTGTTAAAACTGCCCTAGATATTCTTGGCATATAGGAATCGCAAGCTAAGTGTAGAACTTTGTCAATTCTTAGTCCACAGAAGTTTAACTATAGCTGTCTGTTGGAAAAACACATTTTACACATTTTTAAACAGTTCACACACTTTTTTACATTTTATAGGTACATAGTTATTATGTGATTTAATTTTAAAAATGAGTGTATTCTGAAATGTATAAAAAGCGTGTATGGAATATTTAATTAAAAATATAATTTATATTGTGCATTTAATAAATGCATTAAATATTGAATGATTTTCAGATGTTGTCATTGACGAATATTAAATGAAGAAGAAGAACTGTATTTATTTAGTAGGATATGTCCTAATATTTTATTAAAACAACGATAAAAATAAAATGAAAACAACAATTAAAATTAATTGGCGCTCCGGGGCGACTTCATTGATTCCAGTGGCGCATTTGCTTTTTCAGCTGCAGGAAAACCCGGAAAAACCTGCAGCACTAATTAGGGAGATGAAACATATTATTTCCTCTAGTAGTATAGTTATGTATTTGGGAGTTAATCATAGTAAATTCACTTAGATAATCTGGAAGTAGCTTATGTAATATCTTATAAATAAAAATCATTGTTAATTCATAAAATCTGTTTTTCACCGATACCCACTGCAAACAATCTAACATTGCTGCAATGCTGGTAAAACGATTACACTTCAGTATTATTCTCATACCGCGATTTTGCACCTTTTCTAGTTGTGAAATTTTATTAGAATGAAGGGAGTATAGTAAGCTACCACAATAATCAAAGTGGGGCTGGATAATGGTGTTATATACTGTAATTTTGGAGTATGTTGAAAGACATGAGGAAATTCTAGAGAAGAAGTAAAGTTTTTTACTAATTTTTTTACTTATGTAGTAAAGTTTTAACAAAAAAATGCAGTGTAAGTGACAATTTTGTCAAAAATAAATTCATTTTTTGCTTATGTCCTAATATAAAAATGAAAAAAAAATAGCTATACAAACATGTTTCTAGACTATTACTTATATAATAAAAAGAAAAGAAAGACAAATACTAAAAAATAAAATAATGCACTTAAAGTATATAAATTCGTAGTCCTTTATAGAATAGCGATTTCATTGAGTTTGCCATTTTCCAATTAGGGAGATGAAACATATTATTTCCTCTAGTAGTATAGTTATGTATTTGGGAGTTAATCATAGTAAATTCACTTAGATAATCTGGAAGTAGCTAAAGACATGAGGAAATTCTAGAGAAGAAGTAAAGTTTCTTACTAATTTTTTTACTTATGTAGTAAAAATGTTCATGCAATAATAGGCTATTATCAAGTATGAATCCAAGATATTCAAACTGGTTTATGAATTCAATTTTATTGTTATCTATTTCCAACAACTGCTTCAATCACATCATTGCTGTATTTAAAATCACCTTTGATGTTTTTATTCGCAACATATTTAATGCCACTTGATTGATGAATCATTTTATAAGAAATATTTTCAAAAGTTGCTCAGTTGTAAATTTTCTGTTTTCAGATATGGGGCTGTATAGTAGACAGTGTCCTGCCGAATCTTTCCTCCTCTCCGCCTGATGTAGAAACACTCCGTATATACCTCACTCTCCCTCTTTATCATGAGTTTAACAATCCAAAGCAGCATCTTCGGCTTCAGAAACCATTTGCGAGTGCCGTACTCAACCTAAAAGAACCTGCTAGCAAAATCGTTAAGGGCTGGTTGGGTATGATGAGTTGCGATTATCTTGAGAGATTAGTGATTTTATTTAAAAGTATTGCTAGTTACATTCTAAGGAACCAGAATATACCTGAAGGAAATGTGAGTTCAGTGCTGAAAATATAAAATTCAGTTCAATTTAATTTTTGAAATTACTAATATTGACAAGGTATCTCATGAGTCAAAACCAAGATATTTTATATTATACGGAGTGGTCATTTTTTCAATGGGATTGTGATGTAACTTTCAAACCATAAGAGTTAGGTCGGTCAAATGGAGAAAAAGTTGCATTGATAAAACGTTGGATTCGAAATCTGATTATGTCAAATTGAGGAGAATTTACTATCGAATGAAAATTGCCTGAAACATTTTTTGATAATTTTTGAAATAACGTGAAAAAAAAGGAATATCAAAATTACAGAATTTACTTTTCTTATGATATCTCAATAACCGGCCCTGATATTCTCGACTTGCTTGAACTACTTGACAGTGCTTTTATCAATGCAAATTTTTCTCAATTTGACCGATCTTCTAACTCCCATGGTTTGAAAGTTACCAATACAATCCCATTAAAAAAGTTGCCACTCTGTATAAACCAATATATATTTATTATTTATTTAATATATTTGGTAGCTGTCTGACTTGTTCATTTCTCACAAGTTCCTGTCTTCCAACAGGAACTTCCGAACTTTGACAATTGATAACGGCCATCTTGTTGAAACTACATCTGTCAAATCGCTGTCATTTATTCAGTCTGTTTTGCCAAATCACCATGGACGGGTATAGCATTCAACAACATGTGCAATTAATAAATCACCTGTACGTCGACGAAACGCAAGATCTGCCGAAAACATCCCCGTTGTCTGTGAGAGTGTGCAGGAGAATCCGAGACAGTCGATTTCGCGTCGCTCATAAGAACTTTGACTTTGGTAGACCACAACTTGGCAAATTTTGCTTCAATGACTTGGGCCTGCACCCGTACAAAATGAAGTGACCCATGAACTGAAGGTAAACAACCATAGACAACGACGTTTGTTCGGTGAATGGGCTCTGGAGCAGTTGGCAACTGACCCATTTTAGAATAAATGGGTACATGAACAAACAAAATGTCACTGTTTGGTGTGGATTTTGGGCTAGCGGCGTCATCGGTCCATAATTCTTTGAGAAAAACTTTGGCTAGGCCATCTCTGTCAACGGCGAGCACTACTGGTCGATGATTACCAACTTCTTTTGGCTTGAATCGGATGATCCGGACGCCAATGATATGTGGTTTCATAAGACAGCGTTATGTGCTATACATCTCTCATGCCAAATTGGATATTTCGCACCCGCGATTTGGGGGCATGGTAATTTCACGTGGAAGTGCACCGAGATCGTGCAAATTGATCCCGTTAGACTTTTTCTTGTAGGGTTTTCTTAAGTCGCAGGTGAAAGCAAATAAGCCACAAACCACAGCAGTCCGCAATCTCTCAAACAAATTGAAAAAAATCGATGATATCTCACACACGCTTCGTTTCATTTAAATTCACATAAAGGAAGCACTTGATGAAAGACCCTATAGTTTTTACATGTTTCTTGCTGGATGTATATCATATTCTTTTGGACATAATTTGGATTGCCCACAAATTGATTGCCTTCTTGTGATCCAGTGCCTCAAATTTGCATAAAATATGACAATCTGTCTTTGTCCCTTCGTTACATTATCTGCAGTTAAGATCTCCATTGTACAGCCTGATTGTGTTCAAGTCTCCTCCTAATGAATAATGTCCAGTGTGTATCCCTGAAATCAGAGAGAACAAAATCGTCTGCTATTTTGGCATCATCAGTGGTATATGTGTTGACTGTGAGAACTAACGTAATATTTCGAAGTCTCAGCAGTGACTGACTGGCGCTCTTATTAATAATTTCAGGGGGTGTTAGGGGTGATGGCGGATGGTCCGCAGTTATGCTAGGTTGTTTTGATTGGTTCACATTGTTGACAGATATGCTGCGGGTGGGATGTCGATGGGAGTTGTATTCTAGTCCATTTCTGCCCTTCTTGAGTACTGGATACCACTTTATGTTGACCTTCCTTTATATTGAAATTGTTGGAATACTTATAGATCTCGATGGCCTCTCTATGAAGTCGTGCCTGGTAATGCATTGAATTGGACAAAATAACAGTTTCTTCAGATTTTATTATGTGGTCTGTATCTGATAGGACATGTTCTGCAAATGGGGATTTTGCCAGTTGCATAAGGTGGCAGCGACGCTTCTGTTCTTGTATCCTGATGTTGATACTTTGTTCGTTAGTTCTGACATAAACTGAGCCATAGGAACAAGGAATCCTGTAAACACTAGCGAATGTCAGAGGCTCTCTTTTATCCTTGGCCGATCTGATAGTGTTACGTAGTTGATTAGTTGGCTTGTGAATGGTTTCAATGTTAAGAAATTTAGATAGTTTTCCAATACGGTCCATGACTTTGTTTATGTAGTACTAATTGATCGTACCTATCACTGGCAGCTGAATCATTGTCGAAGTTGGAATATTTTTCTAGGATGTAGAGCACGTTTGATTTCTTGTATTGTGAGTAGATCACAGACGGGTTTCAAGGTATTACCTCTCATTAGTGCAGCAAGGATCTAGCTAAACGGCAGCGTGCCTGAGACTCGATTGACTTCAACGAGATTGACATTCATGTTTGAAACCTTCATCTAAAAGAAAGTTATTTCGACACATATTAAGACGTAAATGTCTTTCGGCTATAACTCAATGTCCATCGGGGTATTTTCTGGGGAAGTAGTTGTCTTCTAGCAAGCACTACTGTGTAGTTACGTTGGGAGAGGTGAATGTTTTGAAATATCATTTCAAAATATTTATTTCTTTGAACATCCAAAAATAGTACCTTTCTTTCATTTTTCTTCTCCATGCGAGGATGAATGTAGTTGATTTGGCATAGAAACTGTTCTAATTCTTTTCCTGTGACTCCAAATGAAAGTGTCATCCATGTGTTGAAACCAACAGGTAGGTTTTAATGGGGCTGTCTTCTCGAAAACTTTCATGGTGAAATTTTCAACCACAGCGCTGAGAAAACTTTTCATGGTGACTTCATCTATTTGTTCGTAGAAACAGTCATTCCATTGAAAATATGTAGTAATGAGAACATGGTTGAAAAGAGCCGTGATGTCTCCTGAGAAAATGTGTTTAATTTACTCCAATATCTCCTTGACTGGTACCATGGTGAATATCATTCAGCTGCAGGTCCGAAGGATTTGTTTTCTTGATGAAGTGAGTTGTGGCCTTGATGTAAGATTCTCTTTCTCCTACATATGTCTTCAGTAGGTTCGTTGAGTATCTCTCAAGAGACTAACTAGGTTCACCTACCTATAATTATTATTTGAGTTGGAAAAAGTTGTAAAGATATATTGATTGTGTATATTAAAGTTTAACTCGATATTTTTTTTTTCTTCTTCACTTCCAATTTTATTTTTTTCTCAAAATTTGTATATTTTTCAGACCGCTTTCTATGATTCTAGTCTCGTAGCCATGCTAGATATTTTAGCATTATTGAACAAGATCAATCACACGGCCCAGGGTCTGAAAATTCCATATATTACTTTCCATATGAATGATCTCTCCGATTACCTAGATGTTCGAGTAGATTATGTTAATTGGCTTTCCGACCAGAGGGTAAGTACTCAATATAATATTGCTCCTGAAATATTAATGTCAATGTCCCAAACAGAATTCTAAGGTCTAGCGATTTGTTTTACTTACGATTTCATTCTACAAATTATGGCCTACATAACCCTGTTAATCGTACACTTCGACTTATTAATGAAAGAAAATTGGAAGTAACTGGTATATATATCTCTCAGCAAATTCAAAAACAATCTCTTAACTGCATGATAGTATTATGATATGTATTTTATAATAACTTAAGTTAATGTAATGTAGTATATTACTTCATTATATAATTGTTAATTTTATTCTCAAATGGGGGTGATCCCGTAAAATAAATAAATAAATAAATATCTCAGAATATGAGTCGGAAAAGAAACAAGTTGTCACTCTTGATTGTTTCAACCCAATAATTGATGCCTTTTGCCAGTATTATATGGCAGCTATAGTAAAGAAATAGTAATCGAGTTGTTGACATGTTTTGGATCGAATCAGATTTTATGTGACTTCACTGAAATCTCAAATCCTTATGTTTAGGCTATCTATTCACGACATAGGTGCAGTAAAACATAAAAATAATTTGTAGATGGCATAATCTATCTATACCAGCAAGGCTGGGGAGGGTTTAATAAAAATAACAACGTGAATGCAGTTAGTACACAACTGCTAAAATGGCCGGCAGTTTCGACTAGGTTACAACTTAGTGCTTATTATCAATGTCTTTATCAGGTACAATTGGATACTGCTTGAATAGATTCTCGCTGGGCTGATCGGTTGGAGAAGACTGAAGTTTATTCCTCACTTTACTCAGTTCATCTAAGTTCGTTCGACTTGGCTAGAGTGGCTACGGTTTCATGGTCTTCTGCTGGCTTGGCGTGCTGGACAGATCGATTGGTGGTCTGTTGAAACTAGAGCTCATCATTGAGTCTCGGCAGTATATCAAATTGAGACTCCACTCTAGATACCTTCCTTCGCAGATTTCGGCCGGCTGTACTAGCGCAGAGTTATACTGCTATCAGGGGAATCACCAGGAATTATTCAGAGAGTTTCAATATTCACGAAGCGGGACTAATGAGCGAACTGGATACTCAGCACCCTCCTTAACATTTTCCAGCAACAACGATATTTTTAGTCTCAACAAAATAATCGAGATACAAATTAAGATTCAAATACACCACTTAGAGTAACAGATCATATTAATCACCAACGGTCGATTAATCCACGAGGTTGAAAATATTAATTTCGTTACAGACTTGAAAAAACAAACTTAATAATTTCATCAAGAGCATACACTACATGGATAAAACCGCGCAAGCATTGTAGCATTCAAACATTTTTGTTGACAATAATAAGGTTTGTTGTGACAACAGAAATTATTAGTAACAGTAGAATGATGTAATGAAAAAATGTAAATGTAATGTAAATGAAAAAAAAAAACTTTCTAGATTTTCTATCATTCGTAAACTCGCAGTTATAAATAATAGAACTTATATCATCACGACGCGTGTAGGAGCTGTCATTTATTTATTTATTTATTCAACGGCAAAGCCGCTTTACAAACACATATTTAACAAATGAAAAATGTCAGGATTTCTCGTATCTTTTTGTTTGATATGAAAAGTTATTAGTTGAAGTAGTTCTGGGCAGTTTATCTCACTATTTATTAATTTGAAGAGGAAACTCAAGTTCATTGAAATTCTCCTATATTCCAATGATTTTATATTTTACTTGGTTAAGAGTTGACTGTACTCAGATTCATTTCTTTGAATACCAAAGTGAAAAGCACAATACCTTAAGAATTTCTTTTGAACATTCTCAATCAAATCGATATTTACCCATCATGGGACCCATAGGTCCGAACAATATTCAAGAATGGATCCTTATGAAAGCACAATATAAATATTTTTTTTTGTTTTAATTGAAAAATCAGTAGAAATTCTCAACACAAAACCCAGCATTTCGAGACTTTTTGCTATAATTTCTGATTAAAATCAATTTCGATATAAAGTTTAACTCCCAGATCGCGAATAAATCTTTCTCTTTCAAGGGCTATATTATTCAATGTATATTCAAAGAATATTGGACTTCTGATTTCAGCGAACGTAATGATTTGACACTTATCAATGTTTACCTCTAAGAAATTATTTCTACACCACATGGAAAAGGCTAAACAGCGTTGCCACATCCCAACGTCTCTACATGTTTCTATCTTTGTATATAAGTTTCTATCTATAAATTGAGTTGGGCAGTGATACGATGACACACTACTGAGAGAAAAGAGATTAATTTCAGTACATTTCAGTACAGGAATACTGACTTTAGTGATGCTAATAGCAAACTATCTAGTTTCATTTCTTAGATGTCCTGTAAAGTGTCTTTTTCTCTGTCAGTATTGAATTCATTATGATCCGTCAATATTCTAGGGAGATATTTTAGAAATGTTTATAAAACACTTTTCCCACAACAGAACAAAAGTTGTGTCCCTCGACACACATTTCTTATTACTTCATATAATGAGATTCATCAAATCAATTCATAGTATCGTGTTATTGTTACTGATGTTAATTACTATCTGATTGATACTCACTCTTTATTTTATATTTTCAACTTGTGAACATTGAAAATTAGAAAATTATAATGATATGATTTGCAATGTCAGGAAAGATACGAGTTATTCAGTGTTATTATCAATTTTATGCGTAATATTGATACTACAGTGAACCTATTAGGTATTTTGTTTTTTTTCTGTCATATGTGAGTTTAATGTATTTATCATTTTTCAGACGGGGCGACTATTCTTATGCAACTATCCATTTGTTTTTGATGCCAAAGCAAAAACACAGTTGTTGGAAGTAGACCAGTCAATTCAAGTATGAAAATTTTAATGTATATGCGTATGTGATATAACACGTTACAATTTTTTTAAATTACAGATGCAGACTGCGATGAGTTCTGCTGCTCGCCAAGCTTTCGTGGCAATGCTTGTTGGGTCACAAAATTCAGTTGGTATCAATAGCTTTTTAGTACTGAACATTTCCAGAGAACACATTGTTCAGGATGCGTTGAGAGAATTGAGTCAGGTTAATCCACGTGACCTCAAAAAACCTCTGAAGGTGAGAAACAGTTTGTTAAAAGGTGTGAACAAAAATTGTACTATACTGAAGCTTTTTCAAACACAAAGACAATAATATATAAAAAAAAATATTGGTGAATTCCAAAGGGCCATCGACCGAAGTCCTTCAGCCACGCTATGATTTTTAAATACTTGTATAGTCCGGTCAGTTTAGACATTCGAAGCTACCTAAATTCCCACCAAGCTGAAAATCAGTAAGATTTCTCAAAATATGATTAAAAATAAAATTTGAAAGTTCCCCATCTTTCCCCTGTATGGAAAAAATTTTATTCAAAGGTCAAAAAAATGAGTTTTTCGCGATTTTCAGCAAAACGGTAAGTTTTATCATAAAAATAGTTTAGACAATAATTGTCTACATAAAATTATCTACAAAACATGTATCAATACTTTTTTTCCTACGAGCCACCGTTTTTGAGATGCAACGATTGTAAAAGTTGTAACCGTCATAATATGCACACGTTTCCACTCCACTTATGAGGTAGTGTACTTAGCGCGTTTTTTTACCTTTTTTAACGTGGTTTCCCCAGTAGACCTATTCCACGGGTCAGTTGTGATCCTGTTTAATTTGAAACTATTGCAAAATAATGGATATTAGCAGAGATTGAAAAGATAAAAGCAATTTAAGTAAAAAAAAGTAGGTAGTGAAATTTAATCGTACGAGTCTTAACTTCCAAATTCTTCTTCCTGTTCTTCTTGTTCTTCTTCGTGTTCTCGTTCTTCTTCGTGTTCTCGTTCTTCTTCATCTTCATCCTGAGTACATGTAAACTGCGTTAATAGCGATGTATCACATGTCGCTTCGTTGGAATCAAATGGATCCTCCACTGTTGGTGATTCAATATTAGAACACGACCGGCCTTGACAATGTGTACATGCCAGAGAACAAAACAGTCCGGCTTTTTTGCAACCACATTTAGCACTGACCCCTTTTTGCAGTTGCAAAAAATTGTGTTCAGCAGTTTTTCCGGCGCAGGTGAAAGTAAAGTTTGGACTAGTTCTAATGAATTGTTGACCAACTTCCAACCCCAGTCTGTAGGGTCTAGCTGATAACCAAGTCACACTTGAACTTGGTAATATACCTAAAAAAGATGTTGATGAGCAGCAACTGAGGTTGGAGGAAGACAAGGTAATTGTACTTGTTTTTTACTTTTGGTATTTTTAACGAAACATGCATATCTACTTATACTTATCTAAGCAGGTAGTTTTTTTAGGAGGTCCGTACATAGAAAGAAGAAAGCGAATGCCGTTAGTGATAATTTCTTGTCGAGGTGAATTACTATTTATAAAAACTTCAGCACATTGAACTAAATTTTGTTTTTCAAACATTTTAAAAACTGTTATTTTACCTCACCTGTAAAAGGCAGATGTCGTATCACAGCCAGTTATTGCGTATGAAAATAGTACATGATTTTGACACTTTGCAAAAGTAGATATACATTTTTGATGAATATATTTCCGATGGATGTTGAGCTTTTTCTGGTTTTAAGAAGAAAATAGTATTTCAGTTGGAATTCGAGCAGTGAGTAATACAAGTAAGTCTACATCTTCACCAACAACAACAGTTGTATCTGTCAAATTGAATTGCTTATTGCTGTTTCAATCATCAATACATCAGTATCATTATTAGCTTGTTTTACCAATATACAGTGTACTTATGATGCACTGTTTGGAACCTTTGGTGTAGTAATGAATATTACTGGAGTTTTTTTCCCCAACACCAAATGATATGTTTTACCGTAAAAATGGGGTGTTCCATCGCGAGTGGCGGACAGTGTGTATCACTTTGGCCAACTCCATTCAGGTGGTAGGTGCATTTTGAGCATTTCCATCAGTCCTGAGAGTTTCATCGTTCTACCTCAAATATTACGGAAGATACGGGGGTGTTTCCATGAGAAGTGAGACACTGTATTTTCAGCAGTAAATTTTTCTTTCAAGACTTGTGAGTATTTGTAAGAAATTTTTGTTGACTGATTGGAACTGTCATATTTTCATCAAATAAAATATCAATTGATGTAGATGTTGCTAAGATTCGACGACGTTGTTCTGTGGCTTTGGTATTTCTCGTGCAATCATTATAGCCATCAAATACGCAGTAACTCTGGAACCAAAATGTCAACGTACATACTGTACGTATTTATCTGAGATAACGTTAAATGTTTCTTCGCTATCCCACACAACGCGGTGTAGTAAGTATCCTGCGTCAATGATGTATGTCGTATTTGTATACTCATGCGTATTATGACAATTACAACTTTTACAACTTTTTGAATCGTTATATCTCAAAAACGGTGGCTCGTAGGAAAAAAGTATTGATTCATTTTCTGTATATATTATGATCTACACTTTTTTTCAGAAGTATTTTTATGATGAAATGTACCGTTTTGTTGAAAATCGCGAAAAACTCATTTTTTTGACCTTTGACCTATGACAGTGTATTGATGTTTTCCCAAATAGTTTTTCCGGTTATTTGAATTTGGTTGGTTGTCCTTCAGCTCTTTCCCTACATAATGCCTGCAAGGTCTCCAAGTTAGTTTTGCTTTTTGGAAAGCGGTTTTCTTAGTCTGATAGTATCTCCTTTATAGATATCACTTTTGTAGTTTCTTACAGCAGTGCGTTTGAGGTATTGTGTAGTACGTTCTGAAGGTGATGCATTTTGGTAATGCATGTAATGCATTTTGGTAATAGTAATGTGTAGATGTTTCAGCTGTTTGGAGATTATTTAATGCAGGATTACAATAACTTGAATAAATTATATATGCATACTAGTACTATGTTGCTGTATCGCTGCTGTTCCAATGTTTTGACGTAATCACAATCAACGAACTTAGGCGTGCGTGCGTTATAGAACAGTGCTTTCAAATAATTATTCTACAGCGCCATCTAGTGGCGAGTTATAGAAAAATTGATAGCCTAAAAACATTTTCTATGAAAAATTACTCATACATGTCAAGAAGCGATGTAGAAGTTTATCACTTACCAACCAACCAACCAACAAACATCCATTTTCATATAGTAGATTCGAGAAGTGGACGGCACATCATATTATGTATTTTAGTTGCAGTTTTAGTGTTGAGTCTTCTTTTTTTAAATGTCAGACTCCGAAAGTGTTTTCCTCTATTGATGAATTTTCTGAATAATTTTTGTATGGGTGTTCAAGTTGATTTTGTGGTCGATGGTAACGAATATTACTGGAGTTTTTTCCCAACACCAAATCGTTATTTTTAACACCTCGACACGTGTTTCAATCACCAAATGATCATCTTCAAAGAGGAAGATTAAAACTCAGTTGTAAGTAGTTCTCTGAAGGGTTGGGATAAAAAATGATAAATTGTGATTTCAATAGCCATTTATTGAACCAGGGTGTGGTTGTCCTGTTGATGAGGCTTTGCAGTTCCTCTATTGTGAGTGCTAGCGTGTAGTTGTGTGAAACTAACGCAGTGTCATCTGAATTACTGTAAGATGTAAAGGTTTTCATTAAATTCATTCTTGTCTTCCAAGTAGTAATTATTTAATTAATCCAAAATTACTTATTTGACAATAAAAGTATTAGAACAGTAAATAAATATTGAATTATACATAGATCATAAGCGTTACATGCACCTAATTAATAAATGCGACTCTGCCAGATTATGAAAACAATGTGACTAGATTCTTGGTAAGAGCCGTATTCTTATATCATCTCAGAATTTCTCAACATTTCAAATCGCAGGTTAAATTTCACGACGAAGAGGCTGAAGATGCCGGAGGTGTCACAAAAGAGTTCTTTTTATTGCTCTTGAGGGAAATTTTGGATCCAAAGTATGGTATGTTCAAAGAATATGAAGAGACAAGAGCCATTTGGTTTTCAGAAAATAGCTTTGAAGATGATGATGTGTTTTTCCTTATTGGTAGGTGAGCGAAAAAATATACTATACAAACCTTTTTTAGCTTGTTTTCTGTCTTAGGTATGATATTGGGTTTGGCTATCTACAACTACACCATTATTGATGTCCCATTTCCTTTAGCGCTTTACAAGAAACTTCTGGGCGAAGTTGTCAATTTGAATGACCTCGGTGGTTTATCTCCTATCTTGGCAAACTCGCTACTTGCTCTCCTTAATTATGAAAATGATGACTTTCAAGAAGTTTTCGACTTGACTTTCGAGATATCTCGCGATGTTTTCGGTGAAATTGTAACCGTTCCTCTGAAAGAAAATGGGAAGAACATAGCAGTTAACCAGGAAAACAAGTGAGTTACTTTCAATTTTCATTTCATATTATATTTTTTCTGAGTCGATATTGTAACTAACTAGTATTAGCGAACCGCCCCGGCTCCGCACGGGTGCAGTGCTGATACTTAATATACATATTAACGCGTGCGATCGCTGCTAATCATAAAGTGCTATAGGGCGAAGCGCGGCCTTCGACATGTTATTTATAGGCACGCGCCGCCGGCCCCCGGTTGGTATCGCTGCAAACGCTATGTCCTTGTATTTTAAATCTGTAATATCTTCGACAATATTCATTTAAATTACATGCTGATCTTCATTGAATTCATAATGTATTTGAGGTATTTGATTGGATAAGGATCAATATGTCGAAATATGTATGTTGATATGTTAATATATGTTTTTCCATTAATCAGCCAGTTGTTGCCCCCCTACAAACAACAACTCTCAAAAGTCGAAACTTGTGCGAGCTAAGGACTGATGAGGTCTTACCTTTTAACGTGTGATTCCTAACAATGCTGCATTGCTCAAAAATCGCTTTGTAAATAAGCCATTATTTCTCGTAAAAAGTAAAGGATGAAAAATGGTTATTGTGGGTTATCCCTGAGAGATAGACATATACTATCGCGATGTGTGAGAGCTCGCATTGTCGCGGTGACGAGTGATCCATCTTCGGCGGTTGGTTTTCCTGATTTCTTGGAAGACAACTGGCAAACAAATGGTTGTGTACCATTCAGAATTGACTGTTCTGCGTTGTTCTAGTAGTACGGTTGCGACATGTCCAGTTTTTTCGAAAAAACAGGCGACCATTTTTGGAAGTGCTTCGTGCGCGAACAACTTTTCTTGAATTTGGCTCATTTTGAAACACCCATATAGTCGACTGCTGTTTACTTTCGGGCTCATACGCGTAAGTTCACGATTCGTCACCTGTCACGATGTCATAGACGTGTTTCGAAGTACCGCGATCGTATTTTTTGAGCATTTCTTTCGACCAATCGACAAGAGCCTTTTTTTGAGCGATTGACAAATTGTGTGGGATCCAACGCGACCAAATTTTTTTGACAGTCAAATGTTTATGCAATATTGAATGTATGCTGGTCCCACTAATGCCTAAGGTTGTCTCAATCTCACGATAGGTCATATGCAATATCAGTTCGTGCACAGCATCAATGGTTTTTGGAACAACAACTGATTTTGGTCAACCTTCACGAAATTCGTCTTGGAGTGAACTACGACCACGATTGAATTCACCATACCATCGATAAACACTGGTCCTTGATGGAGCTCCATCGCCAAAAATTGAAATAAGTTCATCCATGACTGTTGCTGAGTTACTCCATGTCGAAAGTTGTAAAAAATAATCGCACGAAAATGTTCAAGATTTAATTCCATTTTTGGGCCAAGATGAATCTTTAATAAACTGTAAACAACACAAATAGCGCGCAAATGTCAAAACGTTCTGAATACGTATAAGTTCAAAAATGTCCAACTTTACGATTGTGTTGCAATCTGGCAACCCTAGTGTTGCCAGATTGCAACACTAGGGTTGTCAAATCTCGAAACCAAAAAGGCAAACCTCGTATATACCTTCCCTTGAATCACTCTATCTATTTAAAAACTCGCATCAAAATTTGTTGTGTACTTTTAAAGATCTAAGCATACATAGGGACAGACAGCGGGAAGCTGTTTTATACTTTTGTTTAACATGGAAAGTATTCAAAATTTTCATTTTGGAAAATCAACTAATTGGTCCACTCACATGAATGGTGTGGTAAATATTCTTCAAGTTCTAAACTAAAGGTAACTATAAATATGATACTGCATCAGAAATTTTGAAAGTGTCCTTCATTTACCTCAGTAATTTCTTGTACAATTTGTGTTTGGGTCATGCCACATTCTCAATGAGTATATTCAAATGCCCGACAAAAGCTTTGAGATTCCTTACATCTATAAATCTTCATATCACTGTGAAATCTTTTTAGTTCTTCAAAATTTTGTATACATTCAAGTGGTTTATTTTTGGATATTTCTACGCTATCCAGAAATCTACATAAATAACTGATCTCTAATTCATAAATCCCTTTTTTTTTTCAGGCAAGAATATGTTGACCTGTACGTAAACTATATATTCTACGAATCCGTAAAACAGCAGTATCAATCATTCCACACTGGATTCATGAAAGTCTGTGATGGCAGAGTGTTGCAGTTATTTCACTCTCAAGAATTGATGGCTGTAGTTGTGGGAAACGAAGATTATGACTGGCATGCTTTAGAGGAGGCAGCGGAGTATAAAAACGGGTAAGTCTTTTCAAATCATTGTCTATTGGTAATCTGAGTGCAAACAATTTCAATGATATGATAAATGAATGAGGTGAATAAATTTATTTCTGAACATTATAATGTGATATAGAGTATAATTGAAATAAAAAATCAAAGAAAATTGAAGAATTATTTCCTAACAGATGAGTTGTTATAGTTGCTTTATAGGTCCAAGAAGACGATTTGTCTTCAATAATCTATAGGCATTCCTCATCAGTAATATTCATATAAAAAAAACTCCCGTCTTTTACGAATTTGATTTGAAGTTCACAAACTATCATTTCTCAATTCAAATCAGTTCAATTTGTCGAATCTAGTAGACTCAAAATATTGACTCTGGAAATAAGCTATGAACCAGGTCTATCCAACTGCAAGAAAGGACATTGACCTGCTCTCATTTACCCACCATAATATCTCACATTTATTTTTCAAAAGACTTGGGCAAAGCTTAAAGAAAAATTTTGGGCGAATTTATTAGAAACAAAGACTTCAAGGTTGGATAGACTAGGAATATTTGATTTGACGTGTGGTACTCGTCCCAAACTTTACATTGGTCAAATGGGGAGAACTTTTTCCCAAAGAATAAAGATTTTTAAAAGTAGTTTTTTGAATGTGAAAACCATATTTTGGTAGACAGACATGTGTTTAATTGTGTCTATGGCTATTGGAAGAGAAAATTTTAGAGGTCAATCGGAATTCGGAATATTTTCTCAATGATTAAATGGAGTTGAATAATTTTCCTTGAAATTGTTACTAATGTTGACATTGATAATTAGTAGAAAATTGCAAGTATTGTTGATATGTGAATCCAGAAAGTTTTTAATTTGTAACATGCAATATTTATTGATATATGAAATTTCATGATTGTTTAGTGACATAGATATTGCAGTTTTTTAAACTGTTTAGTGAATATCTAAGAATGAAGTTTAACTTAAATAAAGGGAATTCACTCAAATGATTTATATTTTGAAGTTTTAATACAGTTCATGGGAGAATTTGAAGATGTGATTATAAAAAGGGGATTATTTTTCAATAATTTCCGAATATTTCATTTTAAAAAATTCAAAATTTTATATAAATTCAGTTTTCCCACGATGCCATATTGAAACAAGTAATAAAACTATTGTGAATAATCCTTCAAGGAGTAATCAAAGTAATGAACTGAAAATCGTCAAGATAATCTAGATTCAAATTTTTGTGGATGAGATTTCGTAAAATGAATAAATAAATAGATATACATACTATGTTCTGTGCAGAATTTAAAAATTCAAGTAATAGAAATGTACTTTGAAAAGAAAAATGCTTTTTACAGGTATAAATCATCAGATGAACCTATACGATGGTTCTGGGAAGTGATTCATGAAATGTCACTGGCAGACAAAAAGAAATTTCTCCTGTTTTTAACAGGAAGTTGTAGAATACCAATACAAGGAATGAAGGGAATCAAGGTGAGTTAAGGAAATCATCAAGTGTGAAATTGCGCATACTAGGTATGTTCAGACAATAACAAGAATTTTTAAATTCCACTGAACAGTTTGATTGTAAAAATTCAATCAATCATTCAATCAATCATTGTACTTTATTTTCTAAGAAAATATATTTCATTGACAGGGCATAGGTTTATGCAGAAAAACCAATATACACACACATATTTTTGATAAACTTGATAGTTTTGACAAATAATTAGAAAAAAAATTAAAAAATATTATAAATTATATTTTAAAGTTGAATAACTTCACCCTGTTGGGCATCGTTAGTATCGGGCAGGCGGTCCTCGATTGAAGACAAAATGTGAATAACCAAGAAAGGTACTTGATAAAAGCGAGACATAAGTGGAACGATCTATTGGTGTAAAACTCAAGTCAACTTGCCATGTTTTTATGTCAGATCCAAGAATCTGTATTTTTCCAAATTTTTGTCTAATAATTATTAGTTTCATCCTCAACGTGAGAAAGGAACTAAACCTAATTGAACTTTTCAAAAGGGTAGAAAGTTTTCTTAGACAAAATGTATTTTGTTTGAAACCATTTATCATATATTATTATAAACTATTCACTGTTTTTATGTTTTGTATAAATATTTTTTTCAATATTCAAAGTAACTCAAATTTTGTTTCTACACCAAATTTTTTTTGATATCTTTGACGACTATATACAATTATCAAATCGTCATATCTAGTTATAATAAGAAAAAACTTTGCTACATTTATGTATGCTTACCAATTATTGATACATGCTTTTATATTGGGATTTGAGAGCAATTACATATCCCAAATAAATTTTGTACTATCCAAGATCAAACTAATTATAAGAAACCAAGTTGAATTATATTTTTGATTGAATTTTTCTTGATTTTTGTCTCTCCTACTCATTGTTTTTTTTTCCAGATATATATCCAACCAACTAATGATGACAAATTCTTGCCTGTTGCTCATACTTGTTTCAACTTGTTGGACCTCCCCAGGTATAAAACCAAAGAACGACTGAAGTACAAACTTATGCAAGCAATCCAACAGACTGAAGGTTTTTCTCTTGTATAATTTCTTGTTTCTTTTATATTATTTCACTGTCTTTTGGATTTGTCATTTTACAAATATATTTTTCTGTTTTTTGTCTATATCAGAACAACTGTTGTTAAATGTACTGTTATTTGGCTATGAAAGTAGGTATATTACAACGAAATGATCATGAAACATTTCTGAAAAATAAATATTCACTTCATTGAAATATATCTATTTCATTTGTCTATCTTTTTTATAATTTTGTGATGGCAGAACAAAAACGTTTGAACAGCCTATAATTTCATCCTAGTATTGTATTTCAGAAGTGAATGAAGTTAGTAATTTTCATTTATCCAAGTGGAAATTGAAGTGATATAAGTAGGACAAATAATTATTTTTGATATGTGTTCACGAACGCCTTAATTTGTTTTTCTTATTTCTAAGGCATTTAGAGATCTACAACACGGATGTATGGCAAATATAGTCTGCAAAGAAACATTAGTTAGATTTGACATTGATGATTCACTTTGTTGAAATATTTTTATTTGTTGGATTTACTGGTTGCGATAATTTATTAAAATTTTCGAAAATGAAATTGTATGAATTAAAATGGTTATTTCATTTATACGTTTATTTACTTTGACCTATACACTGATATACAGGGTACTCTCCAGAAAATGTGTTATAGGTACAGGGTGACTCTTCTGTGTCGATAGATATTGCAAAAAGCCACAATCAAATCACTTCAGTACAATTTACTTTAAGATGAAGCTTGCTAGTAGAAATCACTTGAATTCATATTTTTTAGATAACCGTTAACTTCCTCTTTGTTGCATCTTTGCAGTATTGAAAAATTTCTCGAATACCTATGTTTTAACAAAGGAAAGACATTACTTTTGGTGATGTTGCCATGAAGTAACTCTGAATTGAAGTCTGAAATTTCAAATTTTGGACAACAGAAAAAATTAAAATAAGTGATCCGAGTGTTACAGTATTTCTATATTCCCAATGGATGCATTTAATTGTTAGCTATAACTAATCTAAAGTAGATTGCCAATATGCACATAGTAATATTTCAACAATGACGCTTCAAGCTCTTCAATACCAGTGGAAAGTCAATTTCTGTATGCATTTTGTTTCAAATATCCCCATTGGAATAAATCAAGTGATGTAAGGTTTGGAGAACGAGGAGGCCATCGTGGATCGGTATATCGTCCCAAGCATTGTCACGCTCTTGGAGTATCGTGTTGTTCAAATACTCCCCCAATTCATTTTCCAAAAATGGCCCAATTTATTATTCAATATACCATCTCAATGTTTGACGATATTAGTTTTTGTTCTAGATAAAAATTGTTCATAGCTGGAAATGTAATAATAAATTTCGATTTGTGCTTGATATTTTTAGTTGTCTGCACCATCTAAGGTTGGTCTTTGTGCGATAGACCCTGCTGGTTATATTACCCCCCTACAGAGGAGTTGGATGTCGAGCTTACGACTCCAACTGACTTCTCTGTAAATTTAGATCAGGATCGAAAGCTTCTCAACTCTCCAACTCCTGATCCAATAACTGAGCCTAAAAAAAAGGTTTGGTGGTGCAGCCAGGAAACAACTGAGTCGTCTCTTCAAGAGTGGGGTACCTTATGAAACCGCCTTGCACAAAATTCTTGAATGGCGTACGCAGAATCTGTCTCAAGTGGAGGAACAAACCCCCCCATGAGCTGGTTAGCAAACGTTTGCGCTCCAGTGATGATTATCCAAAACCAGATAATCCAGTCATTTAAGCTTAAATTAGGTAAGAATCTCGGAATTCGAGATACCCAGCTGTAAGTCTGTAAATACTTGTATATTGACACCCTAAAAGTTGTCTCAAAACCTACATATGGTAGGGTGTAAGCAACTATTAAATTTCAAGGTCAAAGGTCACAAAAATCGGTTTTTTGCGCTTTTTTTGGAAATATCTCATTTCCTATGGGTTTTTTGCTATTTGTATT